ACACACACACACACACACACACACACACACACACACACACACACACAAGCACGACCAGACATGTCAATGTGACTTCACTCTTTAACCACAGCAGTCAAACTCACACACTCAAAAACAGATGTGGATGACTTCAGCTGTCATTACACCACACGTCTCTTTGTTTTTACATCTTTTAATTTCATATTTTACTCATCCCCATTGCTAAAAATACATTATTTCAAATCTTTTATCCTCTGTCATCCTGCTTATTGCAATTTTTCGACAGGCCCATTTTGAATATAATTACCATGCTTTTCAATAAATAGCAAATGCTTTTCTTTTCTTTTTTTTTGCACATAAATCCACTTTTTAACTCACACTCCTCCCTGCTTTTACCCAAATGTCCTTGTCAAAAAGGGAAAATAATAAAATAAAATAACACCCTCAATTTAGCTACTCTGTAATTGTGTTTCAGGGAGCCCAATCATGTTCTGACGATACGCGATTTGTTTTGTGTCACGGATGATTTTGTGTCAAATCGACCTCTAATGATCGCTCAAATTGGTTGTTTTCATGTAGAAATTTCCGCCGTCGCATGACTCCTGCCTGCTACCATTTCAAACTGTGAGCACAATAGACTCCAGAACACCCATTGCAATTTTACCATTTGCATTTTTTGTTTCAACATGCATGAAAGCAACTGTAAAAGCTGACACTTAGCGGAACATCATGAACATGATAGTGATACACTTCTGATGGTTAGTATGTTTTCCTGTAACTTTAAATTGAGTTTTGTAATTTGACGGATTTGACCACTTGAGCATGTTGCTAAGGGTTCCCTGAGAACTTCCCACAAATCTGTCCGGGCTCCGCTCCGTTTCACAGTCACATGCTTTAAGAAATGCTGCTGAATTCAATTTTTCTGAACACGTCTTATTCTATACGGCTGAGTTTCTCTTGGTGTCTCTGTCTAGTTGAACATCATCTGCAGAGAGAATAAGCGGTTGCGTAGGCAGCTGGAGGAGGAGAGGTCCACGCGTAGACGAGTAAAGCACCAGATCCCACGTCCTTCCACCTCCCAGCACTGCTTCTTCATCCACCCCCCCCCACCTCACCTTAACAGCGTCTGTCCTCCTACCTCCTCCTCCTCCTCCTCCCCATCCTTTCTTGGCCTCCTTCATCCTCTGAGCACTGAGCCCGTGGCCGGGGACACTTGGGATTTGAACTCCAAATAAGCTGAGTGGAGCTGTTTCAGCCAAATCAGGTGAGTCCCAGGCTTTTCGGTGAGTCGCTCTGGGATAGCTAACTAAAAAAAGTCTGCTGTCTCCACTTCTTGGAAGACGCCGGATCAAGGAGGACAAGGCAGCATCTGGCAAAATGAAGCCCCCCAGAAGGCTTTGATTTGTCATGGCTTTCTGACCCCTTAGTTTCTCACCAGGGAATGTTTACTGCAAAAGGTTAATGTCCCGCGGATCGAAATCAAATCCTGGAGTTTTTTTTTTTTTTTTCTTTCCTGGAAGGGCCCTGAACCAGCAAACCCACTAATGTCTTTATTCTAAGTCTACATAGATTTGTTCTAAGGACATTTTTACACATTTAGAGATGGTTTTATTGATTTTATAACCTGGCAGTTAATTGTGTCTTGAAAGAAATTCAGCAATCTAAACAAATGTAGCCGAATGAACAAGTGTTTATCTCTTCAAATCACAATGTTATTTCACTATAAATTGATAACAACAAGCTCTAAGGTAGTTTTTATTGAAATTGTGTTAAAATAGATCTAGATTTAATGATTTTGGTGCAAATGACTCATGTACGAAGTACGAAACATCATCAGTAGTCACACACGGACCAGATGTTGGTACAAATGGCTGTAACACAGGTTGTGATTAAGCCACAGCTGTGTTCCATGTGTCCTGTGTTTATTGCAGTAAACACGGCCATATTTCTTCATGTGTGTGGATTCTGTCTGTGCTTAAGTCACTCTGCGAGCCTGTGGGAAGGATAGGATTAAGTATAATAGTTGTTTAATGTCTTAGATGTTGTTTAATATCTTTATTTGTCTTTTAAACTGTTAATCACTTGTTTGCATTTGTGTTTTAGCCTCATTTTGTGGTCATGACAGAAAATTAAATGCAGATACATCTGTAAATGTTGTTGTTTTGAATCTGAATTTTCTTCATATTCAATCTACAAATGGCTTATTTCTTTCCATTTGACGTTCTGCAACAGTAGCTACCTGACAGTTTTGCATTTTTGGGCCCTTCTGAAAGCTGGACTTGCTTGCTTTGATGAAGATCTGACATACTGCATTGCTTTGCAGTAAAATCAAATGACCTTATTTGTCATTTTAGAATTGCATCCTAACATGGTGATCTATATCCTTCGGAGTACATTTACAAGTGAGTCATACTTCCTTTTATGTTTTGTGAATTTGAAGTGAAATGTGGAGCCATGGAAACATATGGATTTATGCAGAAAAAGCACTATTATAGGATGATAACAAGAATTTTGGGGAAAAGCAGGACTCGGAGCACTATTGACCCCCTTATTCTTGCCAGTCTGTGTCACAATCACTGTCTTCCAAGCCACCTCTTTTTTAAATCCTTCTTCTTGGTTCTGTCTTATGTATAGTTGGGACATTTTAATGATTTTGTGCAGAGCTGTGAGGCCTTGTTAGTTTTCCTCATTTGCAAAGTCACACTCAAAAATACCTTCTTTTTATATGTGCAAACACTCACATGTACCTACTTACACCTCTACACACGTGTATTCTTTTGCAAAAGCACACACAGTGTTGCACAAATGGCACAATCATTAAAAATGAAACCACAGGCTTTTTGAAAACTCCAAGGACTGAGGGAAGTCAGCGGCGCAGCGGTGAAAAGAGTCCCCCTGGAAACAATGAGGAGAATGATCATTTGTTGTTCTTGAAAACCCGGTGAGGTTTCACAGAGGTTAAGCTTCCCTTTGATGTGTTTTTAACTCGTTTCAGCTCTGTGGAGGGATTAGTCAGCCTCCCACATGCACAGACACACACATTCAAACGCGCACAAGCACACGCAAGCTCTTAATTTCCACACCATGAGCTTTTTCTCTCACAAAGACGGAAAGCGCAGAACAGACTCCTTCCTAACCTAATTTCATCAAATGAGCGTGTGTGGTACTTTGCTCCTGTATGTGTGGTCCCTTGGAATTCTGTGGTAAACCAGAAAAATATTGCAAGTCAGTATTTTCTTTTTATCCCAAATTAGCGCTGCACTGTTTGTGAACAGTGTGGGCCCTCAACCTAAAAGAGGAGAGACAAAGAAGTTGTTGATCATCTCAGTACTCATTACTGTGTTTACAAGGCACTATTTGATCCCTATTTCAAGATGCAAATGATTGGGTGCTTATGCCAAGGATGTGTTTTTGTGTGAGTGAGTTCCTCCACTTTAGGTTGAATTGTGGTGTGTGTGTTCGTGTGTGTGTGTATGACTGGTTGCCCATGCTAATAAACACACATAATGCTCGTATTCATATCTGTTGTTGTAAGCAGATCTGCTACTAATAATGTTGGCACGGGATTTCAAATAATATTTTTTTTTTTTTTGTTAACCAACCTGTGGCACCAAATGGTTGAAAATACGCCACACTAAAGCAACTGTGTACATATTGTATGTCAGCATTTTGAGTGTGTGGTTCGACCAGAATTGCATTCCTGACTCATTTTGGTTGTTTTCATTTAGTCCTTTTGGATTTTATTAGCATCTTTTTTTGACAAACGCTATTCTCAGCAGGCCGTGCCAAATGTCTGATCACTTTGGAAATGTAATTGAAGAACTTAACCTCAAAGCAACAAGCTTGTTTACTATGTCATCCTGAGGGCAACAAGATGTACATGAATAGTTTTATTGTAAGAATTGAATGTGTATCTTCAATATAAATCGCTTTATATCCAGCAGCTGGCACATCCCTTTAGCCATAGAACCAGCTTGGTATCAAGTTCCTGTTGAATTGACTTAAGCAGTGGAGGAAGTTCTGTCCCACCACAATTAAAAGAAGGACAGGGAAGAAAAAATACACGTCTGAAAGAAATAAAAATGACAAGAGAGCTGGCACACGTCTTCTCTAAAATTATAGGTCACTCAAGAACAAATCAGAGAAAAAGAGACAGTCTCTCTCCTCTATGGTTACTTTTTATAGAATATACAGCAAAATGCTGACACACTGCAGTTGCAGTTTGAATTTAAGCTCTAGGCAGAGGTTCAATTTCACTGTGACAAAATGCCCCAGCAGAACCCCTCAGATTATACACAGAGAGCTTTATTAATCTTGTCACACACTGAAGACGGAATCAGCACCAGTTTTTCATCTGTAAACATATTTATATGAACTTAGTGGCCCACATTGAATAGCATTACTGTTGTGCTTAAATTCAGCATTTTCTAAATGAACTCCTGCTTCACTAAAAGTTGTGAATGCGAGATATGCCCTCATTTCTATGGGAACTTCAACTGTTTTGCACATACAGCTCTATCACATGCTCCACAGCCATTAAACTGCTCCCAAGACAAGATTACCGTGTTGCCCATTAGTTTTGTCTGATAAAAAGCCAAGTTGGCAGTGTGTTTTAATCTGAAAGCAGCACTCAGACAAATAAAACAAATTAATGTCTTTAAATTGGGTTGTTCCAACTCATTACATTGCTGCATTATGATTTAATTTGTATCATATGCCGCACTGTAGGGAATACAACCCTTAACTTGCTGAAATCTAGCTAGAAGACATGGAGACTAAGATAATATACTCTACAAACATGAGTATGAAACATGCCTGAGAGTGATTGAAGCATACTTTTTGACACAGCTTTTTTAATTTTTCTATTTTTTATTTTAGTTTTCAGAGGAGCAAAATGAAAGCAAGTAGGGGCTTTCTCACTGATAGAGCATTTTCAGAGAAGATATTGGAAAGACATGAGAGATGATGGAGAGCAGCAGCTTGAAATGTAAAGGTGTAGCCAGTAATGAGCAAATTATGATTGACTGAAAAACTAAATATGAATGTTTATATGGAGTTGGACTTTGGATATTGACCACTCAAAGCGCTTTACACTACATTACATTCACCCATTCATGCTCAGACTTGTGGATACACGAATTGGCAACATGGCCCAGTTGCCATGTTACATGTGGCCCATATGTTGTCCAGGGGAACATGGAGTCATGGCGCTGACTTCATGATCAGTAGACATGCCGTTTCTTTTTTTTTGTAATTTATTGATTGCCTAACTGAGACAACTTTTAGGGGACCTTCTTTTTAAGACAAGCACACAGTTTAATCCCTAAGTGTATCCAGAAGAAGGAACATTTCTCTGAATGTAATGTGAAAAGAAAAGAAAGATTCTTGAAAATGGGCTTGTTGGGTGGAAATTTAGATTTATTTGTTCTCCTTTTCCCCACAAGCAGAACCAATTAAAGTTAAAGGAAATAAAATGACAAATTTTTAGCACATAAGAGTCTACCAGTGGTATATTGACGACAGCATTTAAACTTTGCCATCACAGTGAACTATTATTACCACTATCCATTACCATGGATATTGGTAATAATAATTACTATTGATATTGGTAATGATAATAATAATAATGTAAAACTTTTACCCAAGGACACGTATTAATGCAAACTTTGAGAGCGACAAACATCATTCAGTTTGCCAAAGCAAAAGTGAACCATTTCAAACTGTTTATTTTTATGATTTAATATACTGTATCATAGCTAACAGACCACATGTGACAGATTTTTGCATCTATATTCCCATCTCTTTATGGGTAAGTTGACCATGTCGCCACTATTTCCAACAAGAGAAAACTTCCCCAGAGGGAAAGACGGCAGTAAGAGAAAACAGGTGGAAAGTGGTACAGTTTAAGACAGTGGGAACCCTAGAGGGAGCACGAGATTACGAGGCAATTTAAAGGAGGAAGAGTTGAGGACTACAGGGAAAGATGAAAAGAGGTAGCAAAGGAGGGATGCATGAGGGAAGCGACTGAAAGAATGTTGCTGGGGGATTTGGGGAATAAGTTTGGGAATGAGGAGGGAAGCTGAGAGAGAGATGGGAATGGAGGGAGACTGGCAAAGGAATGAAAGATTGGTGGTGTAGTGTTTGATTTAGAGAGTAGAGAGGTTAATACATGGAAGGAGGAGAGAAAATAAGGGAAAGAGGAGGAGTAATGGGACATTTAGGTAGAGGTGATGAGATGGAAAGAAAAGTTAAAGGTGAAAGAAGTCTGTGACAGTGAGAATGAGAGTTGGAGGAATGAGGAGATGCTGGGAAGGGACTGATGAGAAAAAGAGCAGGAGGGGAGAAAAGAAAGAATGAGAGTGGTGCGAGATTTAGGGTGTGTGTGGAAGAGAGAGTGCCAGAGAGGAGCATATTGTCCTTATCGGCCCGCTCCAGAAAGCCTGCTCCCTAATGGGACTGGTGTGAAGGGGAAATGAGGACTAGGCCTGATGCCACCTGATTAGCCATGGACTTAAACACACATCAAAGACTGGGAGGAGAGGAAGGAGCGCAAGGTGGGTGTGTGCCGTTGTAGGCCGAAGGTGAGTCACCGCCACCTCCCTCGGCAGGACTTTGAATGAAAATCACCCTCTCCTTCCGTACACACTCACACCCGGACACATGGCCATTTTCCTCAACCTTGAAAGGAGCGGCTCCTCTGAATAAAGGAGGTTCTCTGAATTGTGGTGGGGGTTGGGGTGGGGGGGGGGGGGGGGAAAAAAGGGGGGGTTTGGGGGGGGGGGGGGGGGGGGGGGGGGGGGGGGGGGGGGTAAATGCAAGCGGGAAGCAAGGATGTGGTGGAAGAGGGAGGGAGCAGATTGGATGGAGGAAAAGGAGGAGCCATCAAAAAGAGTCATCATAGTCCATATTAGCCCAATAATGAAATTTGCCTTTTAGCTAATGACATCACCCGAAAGCTCTGTTTTCACATAAATAACAGTGGACCGAACTGTCTCCTTCACTCACGGCCGCAGCACAAAAGCATCCCTCACACACACACACACACACACACAAACACCTACTTCCCAACAGAAGGAGACTCCCACAGCCGCGCGTATCTGAAACAATCAGTGCCTCAGCGGTGACC